AGGGCATTGAAACAACTTAAGGGCATATTCTAAAAACATACAAAATAATTCCCTTGAATGATAGGTATTTCAGAAATATAAAATTTCAGTAACAATATATAAACAAAACAAAACACATTTCTAATAAGAGATATATATATATAACCACATAATGTGTAGAGATAGATCCAGAGAAATGAAAATATTCCCAGTCGGAATTAAAGATATACATTTAAAAGCATGAAAAGAGATAAATGTATATGGGTTAAAATGAGATATATTGGAGGGGACATTTATTCGTAGGGATTTAAAAGATATTTTTGAAGAAATGTGAAGATATGGTTGAAAGTGTCCTGTATGCCGAGTCCATTAGCTTCTGATCCAATCAGGGTTTAGTGTTTGATGTCTATTCTGAACCAATAGAAATAGTTTGGCTGTAACAACTATCTTTCTATCTATCTCATTATCCAATCAGAGTTATGAATCCTTCAATGGAAATATTTACTTCTACTGAAACTATGTTGTGTGTGGATCTTTCTTGTTGTTGTTTCTATCAAAGGAACAGATTACTAACCTCAAACTCTTTGTTCATGATCTTTATATCTTTGTAACCTGATGCCGGCGAAAATCTTTAATTTTGACAGATCAAAGGAAATAGCCTTTGTCACATACTCAAATTTTTTATCCCTTGATATTTCAAACTATGAATTTTGTTTGAAAGATTAAAGGTTTGTACAATCAGGTTGCAAAGGTACAGGAATTAGAACATGTTAGTTTCGGCAAAAACTCAGTTTCTTTAAGTTAAAGATTTAAATACCCAGATTTAGTTACGAAGATATAGGAGTTAGAACTTAAAGGGGGAAATCAATTCCTTTGACAGTGAGGTTTAATCCGTATATTTCCAAATTACCAAATTAACCATTCATAATCTTCGGTTTACTTTATCGCTCAAAACATGATTTAAGATAAAGAATGCGGGGTTTTATTAGTATAGTATTTTGGCCACAGGCTTTCATGGACTAGGAAAACATTCTTTCTTGAATTTTGAATTAAAAACGTTGTAACCAAAGCTTTCCGTTCTGTTGGTTGTAAAAAATGTATATCATGGATTCTAAGCCTCTCCATCTCAAAAATTAATCCTTCGCTTCAATATATTTTTTGTCAAAATTCCTCAAATTCCACAATTTGTTCCGCAGATCCTAACTCTCTCTCAATTGTGTCGTATAATGAATATCTAAAATAAACCGGTATTTTTTCTTTCAAACTTTGGTGAATCATTTTAAGTTGAAAGATTGTAATAAAACATGGCGGGTTTCCTCAACTTGTGACAGGCATGGAAGTCCCAGTGTGAAAAGATGCAATTAGATGGAAGGAGACAATTCCTAAAAATACTTAATTTTTGACAAGGGTCCCGCCCCCACGCCTCATCTCACCCTTTAATTCAGCTTTCGAAATATTTTGAAAAATTTCTTTTAAAATTTAGCCCATTTTTAAAAGAAAAATATCTTAGGCTCTTAATTTTTTTTTCATTTATTGCTGTCTTTTTCATTTTTGAAATCCCCACAATAATGTTGGATCCGATCAGCTCCAAGGCTTTTCCATGAACAGGCAAACAGACAAGTACGTTTAAAACGTAGACTATATGATCCAATAGAATTCATATTTTGCACATTTCAAAGGTCTACGAGATCGCGTTTGTGGCAAGGTCTGTTTTTTAATTTTTCAAAGTTATTTTTTAAAATGAGAATGATTGAGTTTGTACAATAACTGCATGCAATTGCCCAATGCATAACCAACCTATCCCCTGACACAAATACAAACCTTTGAGATCGTTTATAATCTAAAAGTCACACTGTAAATAAAACCATCCATCTTTCATTCCATCCTCTCTGATTTATCTATCTTAGTAATATGTTTTGTGTTCAGCCGTTTATAATTTGTAGTGGTAGCTCCTCTTACATTCTCATTTATCATAATAGATTGAATTACAAGAAAATAGATTAAATATTTGCCCTAGGTTCACTATTCTTGATTTTATAATGGATTCACATCTTATCTTATATAGTTAATACTAACTGGAGGGAGTCTGGACTATCATATTTTAAAAGGTTGGAGCTTTTAGGACTATAGTGATTGCAGAGACCCTGGATCATCATATTTTATTGAGAGATTTAACCCATTAGTGACGAGACCATTAACTATTAGTGAAGTTGTTTTAGAAGGATCTTGTCATAACAAAACTTGATTGTACTCATGAAAAAATGATATTCAATTAAATTTTTGAATTTTTTTTGTACAGGGTGACCTGTAAAACATGAAAATCTAAAGAACTTTTGAAATTCATAATTATTCAATTATCTTCAAAACTTTACTTTTCATGTTTTAGAACTAGGATTAGAAAGGAGTAGAAGAAAAAATATTACAAGGATGGAGAACTAGGATTCGAGAGAGGAGAGAAGAAGAAAGAATATTATTAGGATGGAGAACTAGGATTAGAGAGAGGAGAGTAGAAGAAAGAATATTATTAGGATGGAGAACTAGGATTAGAGAGGAGAGTAGAAGAAAGAATATTACAGGAATGGAGAACTAGGATTAGAGAGAGGAGTTGAAGACAGAACATTACAAGAATGGAAAACTAGGATTAGAGAGAAAAAGAAAAAGTTCTTCATCCTTGTATATTAGAAGGATGGAAAGTTAGGATTAGAGAGAAGAGAATAAATTAGAAAGAATATTCTATGTTTTCTTTTGTTTCAAGTAATGAGATTGAAGACCTGGAATTGGGATTGTAGGAGAGAAAAAAGAGGATTGTAGAAGAAAAAAGAAGAGGATTGTAGAAAAGAAAAGAAGAGGATTTTAGAAGAGAAAAGAAGAGGATTGTAGAAGAGAAAAGAAGAAGATTGTAGAAGAGAAAAGAAGAGGATTGTAGAAGAGAAAAGAAGAGGATTGTAGAAGAGAAAAGAAAAGGATTGTAGAAGAGAAAAGAAGAGGATTGTAGAAGAGAAAAGAAGAGGATTGTAGGAGGGAAAAGAAGTGGATTGTAGAAAAAAAGAAGAGGATTGTAGAAGAGAAAAGAAGAGGATTGTAGAAGAGAAAAGAAGAGGATTGTAGAAGAGAAAAGAAGAGTATTGTAGAAGAGAAAAGAAGAGGATTGTAGAAGAGAAAAGTAGAGGATTTTAGAGGAGAAAAGATGAAGATTGTAGAAGAGAAAAGAAGAGGATTGTATAGAAGAGAAAAGAAGAGGATTGTAGGAGAGAAAAGAAGAGGATTGTAGAAGAGAAAAGAAGAGGATTGTAGAAGAGAAAAGAAGAGGATTGAAATGAAAATTGTTGCATACCAAAAAACCAGCTTTTTATAAAGGAATGTCAATTTTAAACTATAAATTGGTTTTAGAATTAGTTTTTGATGATTCTTGATTTCATTGTCCATTTCAGCTCATGTCGCGTTTTCGAAACATATCCTGGTTTTGAGACAATTACCGGAATTCATATCAATGTCAATTTTTAAGCATTCCACACTTACAGGGTGTCCCACGAAATATGACAGCTTTGGTGAATAGTTTTGCAATCTTCTTCCATATGCTACAATTATAAATTAAAGTCCTAGTTCATTTCGTTAAAAAATTCTTTTACTCAAATCTGTTTTACTTTGAAATCAAATTTACTATTTTATGAATGCCATATATTTTATTGATTCTCGAGTTGATATCAAGGTGTCACGTATCGTTTGCACATTAATGATTGATCGCGGACTAACGTAAATTCGCTCTCGTTCATTCGGACTAACGTTTTATTTGAGGGTTAGGTTGTTAAGACAATTTCTGGGCCGAGCACTGCGGCTAGGACAGCTAGGCTAGGGGGCCGAGCGCCGCGGCTAGGACAGGCTAGGGGGCCCGGCGCTGCGGCCACAAGTGTAACTGATCAGCTGACTTTAGTGCAAAAGTACGTTAGTTTAATCGGACATTTATAGTGCAAACGATAAAGCATCGATCAAACAACTTATTAAATTAAGGAAGAAGACATTTAAAACTGCTTACCAACTGTCATATTTCGTGGAACACCCTGCGGCCACATGTCCAACTTACAGCTGTAAAACCATGAGCTAGTAGGTCGGAAGTGGAACTGTAGTATTGCGGACCTGGGGTAGGTCAGATGTGGAGTATAACGAATATGCGTAGGTCGAAAGATACACCATCGATGCGTCGTCTTTGATAAAAACCAAACCAATGTTCGATCCAAGATTCTTTGCCGCGTCCTATTCTCAAGTAGAGTACGAAATAAGCGTACACAAAGTTGGCAACAGTCATCCTACGCAAAACCCAAGAAATTTGAGCTTTAAGTGGTATATTCCTAGAGAACGATTTTTGGACCCTCCCCCCTCCTATCAATTTTGTACATGGATATAATTAATCATGTGGCCGCAGCGCCCGGCCCTCCAGACTGTCCTAGTCGCGGCGCTCGGCCCCCTAACCTGTCCTAGCCGTAGCGCTCGGCCCAGAAATTGTCTTACCCTAACCTAGCCCCAAAAATAATAAAAAATGAATAAAAATAAGTGGTCATGTATGTACATAATTGATATGAGGGGGGAAGGCGGGAGGGGGGTGGTCTAAACATCGTATACTAGGACGGACCCTAATGGGAGATCTATTAAAGGCTGTGATATTTTATCTGTAGAGAAAGGGGAATAGTAAAAAAAGAGGCGTTAGATAACAGTCACAAAACATTCTGTACAAGTATAGCAGTACGAGTATGGTCTATTTATCTGGGCACTCTATGAATATATTTATCATATAAACTATAAATACACTGTAAAACCTATAATCAAAGAGAATTTAATAAAACTAAATATTTTAAAAGATAGAATATGAATCAACCGTGGATGAAGTAATACAGATACACAGAAAATGTTGAGGTTTTGAGAAAAGCTGNGGGGGGGGGGGGGGGTGATTCTCAAACATATATACCCCTGTGCAGATATAAATTGATTCACATTTTTGATGAATATTATGATTTAACTAATTTTTTATATTTTAGATCTTCCACCATTCAACATTTATATTTCTTGCTAACGGGTATGATAGCCGCTCATTGGGTTATAGGTATTCTTAGTTTAATTATTATTATATTTATATTACATAATGATATTTTCTTGTTGAAATTATATTCAAAAAGAATTAACTTTTAGTTAAGTTTGTTTAATTTTTTTAGGAAATGAACTTGTTCACAGTCTCTACGCAATAGTTGGAACATATTTGATAATAAAATTAGCAGGTATTAAATTAAACGAAATAGTTCATAGTAAATGTTAAAATGATGAATATCTTGCAAGTTGGTATTTCATCGGTGCACGCTCAGAATATGAGCAGTTAGGCTTTTATAATAAAGTTATGGGGTTTCTACTTGAATTTAATTTAGTTTAAATGTTCTTAAATGTTTTTCGCTTTTTACCGAATTTAATAAGTTAAAAAAATTTTAAAATGTGCCTTTTTTCATTAACCACATTTACTCTTTCTGATATACAAATAATTTCCTCTATGCGAAACCCGGTGATTTTGTTTTACTATTAATATTTAGTTATATCGCTGAGAACCAATGGAGATTTATAAAATAATATCTCTTAACCACCGATAGAAAGGTCATAATTGGTCTTATTTATCACATTCTTAACCTTAATGAATGTTACCCAAACTAAACCTTATTGACATTTAGTCACCAATTTTTTTTCTGTATTATAGGTGGAAGTTTTGGCTCTGTTGTCGCTTCCTTTCTCTTTAACTTTGGATATTTGATGGTTGGATATTATTACACGGCATCAGATGGATATGATATTTGCTGGACTATGCCACACTGTATCCTCTGTCTCAGATTGATAGGTAGGAAAATTTAAGCTCTCTTAAGATTCTCAATATTTTATGTTCAGTATTTGNGGTTATTTATGAATTTGACCAGCTTATCTACATTGTTATATTACTAAAAATATTTTTGTTAAAATATTATTCTCTCTTAAAATTATCAAGAAAATTAAAGGAAATTTTGTGTAATAAGTTTAGTAAACAAGGGTGTATATTTTTACAAGGGAAAAACTATGTTTAAAGATCTGAGGTAAAAAATAAAAAATCGGACATTAAAAGTTTTTAATCTTATCTGACACCCTTCTACCATTCATTTATTTTCCCAATTCAAAGAATGAAACCCTAAATATTCCAATGATTTTCAAAGGGTGGGGGAATGGTTTTTTTAAGGAAATATTCACCCCTGGAGTTCATCGTTCCAGTTGATGTCCTCTTTTAATTTTTTATTTAAATCTTCTAAAATATTTTCTTCTACTTATTTTCTGTTTAGGGTTAACGTTTGATTTATACGATGGTAAACGTGGAGAACTTGAAGGAGAATCAGTTCTCTCCAAAGACCAGCTGAAAGCTGCACTGGTGGAACCTCCTAGTTTGCTGGAGATGTTATCTCACAGCTTCTTTATCGGAGGATACTTTGTTGGTCCTCAGTTCAACTTCAGGAAGTTTAAACAGTTCGCTAGTCCAGGGTTCATTTCGCAACTTCCTGGGTCCCCGATCTCCTACGGGTTCCGTAGATTTGGGATGAGTATTTTCTATATGTTGATCCATATTATCGGATCTATGTACGTCCCCGCTATGTGGCCCTCCTCCCCCGAGTGGTCGAACACGTCCTTTATCAAGAAGATGTTGATCATGCCGTTTTGGTGCAAGTTTATCCTTTACAAGTATCTCTCGGCTTGGCTACTAGCTGAGGGAGTTTGTATTATCTCCGGTCTGAGTTATAATGGTTTGAAGGAGGATGGAAGTGTGAATTGGAAAGGTTGTGCTAATGTAAAACTGAGAAGGTTTGAAACCGCGTCTAGGTTCGGACATCTCATCGAATCCTTCAATATTAACACCAACGACTGGGCCGCAGCATACGTTTACAAGAGGTTGAAGTTTATGAACAACAGGATTATCAGCCAGGTGTCAACCCTGTTCTTTCTCGCACTCTGGCACGGGTTCCACACCGGATACTTCTTCACCTTCATGAACGAGTTCATCACGATGAACTTCGAGAAGGAGCTGATGGTTCTGCTGGAGAGAAGTGAGAGAATCGAGAAGTTGAACCAAAACCCTGTCGCCAGGATAGTCATGAAAGCGATCGGTTGGGTCTGGGTCTTTTTCTTCATGTCTCAGTGCTTCATTGGGTTCTCTCTCCTTACCTGGGATAGGTACTGGCCGGCGTATAAGGATACATATTTTATTCTCCATCTCGTTTATCTATCCTGGCCTCTCTGGAGACCCCCTTTTAAATCCTTCCTCAAACTGAAACCTAAACCCGAGAAAATGGAATAATCGGCTTTACAGTGTACTTTGGGTCCGTACATCTTCTGTACGGAACCTTCTTGCTGCACAGTGCACTCTGAAAGTATAACACACTGCATGTATGATTGTATACTGTTCAGTTAACAGTGTACAGGCGTACAATTTTCAGGTTACGTGCTCATGAACTCGTTTTAAAGTAGTCAATTATTAGATTTATGTATTCACACCTTGTTATACTTACACTTTATCATCATCATTACGGATGGAATTAATTGTTGATACTTATTATTGTTTTGTTTTTTTATTTTACATATTGATCGATTTGAGAAAATCTGCAAATATTTGTTGGATTCACTTCACACTTACAATAGGAAAATTCTGTAACAATTATGTTTCAAAAAGCAATGTATTTGTTTCCTAAAAAATATTTATATTGATTTTAATATGAAATGAGGGAAAAGTGTAAAATATAGTTATTCATTCTGTTTATAATTCGAATGTAAAGAAAGCTCCTAAATGTAATCTGGCTCTAGTTAACGATGTGTTTTTTTTTTCAATTTGTTTGTTGTAGTTTATTTTTATAATGTTTAAGATTGCTCATCATCAATTAAAGTTGTAGTTCATCATAATTTAGTTTCAACCCGGTATCATTATTATTAATGTGATTATAGCCCCACCCAGAGTAACGAAAACGCACAAGAACCTTTAAATCAAAAGGGGTTTACAGTACACTATACAATATATACATGATTTATCGACTGATTTTGATCAAGCAGAGCTTTATTTTGTACACTTGTCTTTTCTTATTGATTCAGTTTCGTTCTGCCATTTATATTTTACATTATACATTATACACATAGTTTATTTTAATGTAATTACTTTAGTTTTCATCACAAGGTTATATTTTCAGAATCATGCTTAGAATTTATCCCAGTTTAGAGCTTGGACGGATCGGACTATGTTTTTACAACCTAGAGCAAGGTGTTGGGTTAATAAGTACCCGGATAAGAATGATGAGTTCAGCTCCTGTCCGGGTTCGATTTGCTCCGAGTCCAACAGGTACCTAGAACTCAATTTGTTCACGAACATATTAACCCAGATGAATATTATTTATAAGCAATATCCATAAATTCGGTTTCATGAAATTATGAAAGAGACAAACAATTTTTTTTTCTTTTAGGTCAACTTCATCTTGGAGGTCTGAGAACAGCATTATATAATTATCTATTTGCCAAGGTAAACTAAGGAGGGATATTTTATTTATTTATCCCATTGTTTGAATTTATCTCCGATATTAGTTTAATTTCACTCTTTTCTTCCTTTTGTTTATTTAACTTTAAATCTGTCGCTTTAAAAATTATACATATTCCTTCCAATCGGTGATTCCTTTTTATTTATTTATTCCCTTTCCCTTGGTTTTTCCTAATATTAGAAGCACTAGAAGAATTTTTTAACCTTTTCTAAGCTGTAAAAATATATATATATAAAAATATAATTTTTTATCGGAAGAACTGTGTTCCTATTTCCCTAAATTATTATTTCAGTTTTTACTTCTATCTCAGGCCCGTGGAGGTAGCTTCATTCTGCGTATAGAAGATACGGACCGGAGCAGGTTTGTACCCGGAGCAACGGAGAACTTGGAGAACATCCTTGATTGGATCGGAGTTAAACCTGATGAAAGTCCGTCTAAGGATAGAGGTCATTTAAATGAATATCTGTCAAATCAAAAATTAAACTAAACTAAGTTGAATTTACTCAAGTCAAGGAGCTTTCATAAATAAAACTTAAAATTATTTAAACTTATTTGTTCAAATTTTAAATCAAAATGACTGGTTTAGGGAGGAGATTATGGACCATATTTTCAGTCTCATCGCCTTGATATTTACACGAAGGTAACCAGCATGGACTCACCGACAGCTAGATGGCTGGGATCACTCGAAATATTTCACTATTTTTTATCACTAATTTTCATGTAGGGGTGTAATTTTCATTTAAAATCATATATCAAAAATAATTTTTTCTTCAGAAGTTAGGTATTTTTCGGGTTTTATTTCTTAAATTAGGGAAAATGAATTATTTTTAGGAAAACAATTACTATATTTTTGGGTTAATAGTATCCCATAGGATATTCTTCTAATATCCAATCTTTAATTTTTTTTACCCAGAATCATTCAAAATCATTATTTGAATTTTTTTACAGAAAAATATTTCCTGAAGCACATTTCGTTCCACGAATAAAAAACTATGTATGTTTATTGTTTAGTATGTGAATCAGCTGATTGATGGCGGACATGCTTATAAATGTTTCTGTACAGAGAGAAGATTAGAACTACTAAAGAGAGAGGCCGCTAGAACTAGAACCTCAAATATCTATGACCGACGATGTTTATCCTTGAGTGAAGGCCAGATAAAAGAAAAGGAAGAGAGCGGGGTCAGCTACACTGTCAGGTTTTCAGAACAGTTGAACTCGTTTGATTTGGATTAGCTCCCTTGATTTGAAAGTTACCAGCTTAAGAGTGTTTTCCTATACATGATTAATATTTTATTTATAAACTGGATTCTGTCAAATAATATTCCAGAAATGAAAAAATACTAAGGCAAAGAAAATGTTAGTTTAAAGGACATTACATTTGATGATCATTGTTTTCCCCCAAATGCAAGACATTTTTTGAATGGGGGCAAAATTATTTTCAAAGAAAAGAAATATAATTTTCTACTTTATATCTAACTTAGTAAAAATAGTTCAACCTAGTATTCCTTATTTCAGGTTCAAACTATCCTCGATAACTGAGCCGGTTAACGATCTTGTTTACGGTCCTGTGGTTCATGACGTTTTCCAGTTTGAAGGAGATCCGATCATTCTGAAGTCGGACGGATTTCCTACTTATCACCTTGCAAACGTTATTGATGATCATCTCATGGGAATAAGGTAAAATTTCTCAGAAGACATCCTTCAAATTGAACATTTTTGAGCTCAAATGTAAAAAAAAGATAACGATAACGAACAAATCTTCGGAAGTCTAAAGATTATTTGAGTTAGATGCAATGCACTTAATACTCGAAACTCGGAATTAAAATGATAAAATGCATAAAAAAGATATTAATGTTTGCGCGGAGCAAAAAATTTGGTTGAAATTGCTGAATTTGGAAATATGAATGATTTTTATAGGGGAAAATAGGTAAATTTTTGGTTAAAATGCATCAAAAAGAATGATAAAACCTGCCTTGTCAAGGTCAAAAAAGGAAAAAATAATTCTGAAATAAAATATGAACTTTTTTCAGTCACGTATTACGCGGAGCAGAATGGCAGGTTTCTACTCCTAAGCATGTTCTTCTCTACCGTGCATTTGGTTGGAACCCACCAGAGTTTGCTCATCTTCCTCTTATTCTCAACCAGGACGGATCTAAGCTCAGTAAACGACAGGACGATCTTCACATACTCTCTCTTAGAGAGAACTTGTACTATCCTGAGTCTATATTGAACTTTATAACACTGGTGGGAGGGGGATTTGAGGATAAAGAATACTCACTCCGGAACCTGTTCTCAATGCAAGAACTTACAACCAAGTTTCAACTTAATAGGATAAATAGTAACTCTGGTAAGCTGGAGATGGAGAGGTTGGGAGAACTAAACCAAGTTGCTCTCCGGCGCAGGTTCGATGATCCTGGGGAGAGGCGGGTTCTCATCAAATCATGTAGGAATCTTGTGATACAAGCTATACCTGGAGTACAGGACAAATTCATCTCTGACGAATGCATTGAAAAGTATTTGTTATGGGGACTGGAGAGGATTAAAACAGTAAAAGATCTTGTAAACCCTGATTTATTATATCTATGGACTAGTCCTCAAACCTACGAAACTATCTCTCTAACCAAAGACACTTTATCCAAGATTTTTGAAATCTACGAAAATTCTGATGATTTTAAAGGATTTCAAAAGAATTTACGCTCCTTATGTTCAATATTAGGATTAAAGTTTCCAGTTGTGATGAAAGATATCCGGGTACTATTGACAGGACGGAAGGAAGGTCCTCCACTACTAGAGATTATCCAGATCCTAGGTAGGGAGGAGACCTTAAACAGGTTCAAACAGTACAAATAATTTCAGAGAAAATGTTTGGTGTTAATTTTGGGTTCCCTGATATACCTCGTCCTTTTAATACACAGGTATATTTATAACATATATACACAGGTATATATATTATATATAAATAATATATATACCCAGGTATATGTATATAATATGTATACCATGTTCTTAATTTCTAGTTTTGTACTTTTCTGTATATTTTTATTCTACTAGCAATGCTTCTCTTAATCAATGTTACATTCAAGTACCAATACTTCTATGTATCTATGTTATGTGCTCTTACAGATGCTCCTCTATATCTATGCTTTCTAGTATCTATGCTATATTTTAGTACCGATGCTTCTCTATATCTATGCTATGTTATAGTACCGATGTTTCTCTGCACTAAATTCTAGAACCGACGCTTCTCTATATCTGTGATATGTTCTAGTATCGATGCTTCTCTGTATCTATGATATGTTCTAGTACCGATGCTTCTCTGTATCTAAGCTATATTCTAGTACCGACGCTTCTCTGTAGCTATGCTATATCATAGTATCGATGCTTCTTTGTATCTAACCGATGCTTCTCTGCATCATGCTATATTCTAGTACCGATGCTTCTCTGCATCATGCTATATTCTAGTACCGATGCTTCGCTGTATCGAAGCTATATTCTAGTACCTATATTTCCCTGTATCTATGTTATATTCTAGTACCGATGCTGCTCTGTATCAATGCTATATTCTAGTACCTATGCTTCCCTGTATCTATGATATATTCTAGTACCTATGCTTCTCTGCATCTATGCTGTATTCTTGTACCGATGCTTCTCTGTATCTATTCTGTATTTTAGTACCGATGGTTCTTTGTATCTAGAATATATTCTAGTACCGATGCTTCTCTGTATCTATGCTTTCTTCTAATACCTTTACTTCTCTGTATCCATGCTATATTCTATTACCGATGCTTCTCTGTATCTAACCGAACCGATGCTTCTCTGCATCATGCTATATCATAGTACCGATGCTTCTATGAATCTATGCTATATTCAAGTACCAATGCTTTTCTGTATCGATGCTATATTCTAGTACATATATTTCCCTGTATCTATGAAATATTCTAGTACCGATGCTGCTCTGTATCGATGCTATATTCTAGTATCGATGCTTCTCTGTATCTAAGCTGTATTCTAGTACCGACGCTTCTCAGTAGCTAAGCTATATTCTAGTACCGACGCTTCCCTGTATCTATGCTGTATTCTAGTACCTATGCTTCCCTGTATCTATGATATATTCTAGTACCGATGCTTCTCTGTATCTATGCTGTATTCTAGTACCTATGCTTCCCTGTATCTATGATATATTCTAGTACCGATGCTTCTCTGTATCTATGCTGTATTCTAGTACCGATGCTTCCCTGTATCTATGCTGTATTCTTGTACCGACGCTTCTCTGTATCTATTCTGTATTCTAGTACCGATGCTTCTATGTATCTATGCTATATTCAAGTACCGATGCTTCTCTGTATCTATGCTATATTCTAGTACCGATGCTTCTCTGTATCTAGGCTATATTTTAGTACCGACGCTTCTCTGTAGCTATGCTATATTATAGTAACGATGCTTATTTGTATCTATGCTATATTCTAGTACGGATGCTTCTCTGTATCTATGCTTTCTTCTAGTACCTTTACTTCTCTGTATCCATGCTATATTCTAGTACCGATGCTTCTCTGTATCTAACCGATGCTTCCCTGCATCATGCTATATTCTAGTACCGATGCTTCTCTGTATCGATGCTGTATTATAGTACCTATGCTTCCCTGTATCTATGATATATTCTAGTACCGATGCTTCTCTGTATCTATGCTGTATTCTATTACCGATACTTCTCTGTATCTATGCTATATTCTAGTACCAATGCTTCTCTGTTTTTTGCTATTGCTTTAATCTAGTACTGATACTCCTCTGTATCTATGCTATATTCAAGTACCGATACATCTCTGCATCTATGCTATGTTCTCTCACAGATTCTTCCTTTTTATCTATGCTTTCTAGTAACGATACTTATCAGTATCTATGCTAAATTTTAGTACCGATGCTTCTCTGTATGTATGCTATTTTCTAGTAACTATGCTTCTCTATATCTATGCTATATTCTAATAACGATACTTTTCTGTATCTATGCTATATTTTAGTACTGATGCATTGCTATATCTATGCTATATTTTAGTACTGATGCGTCTCTATATCTATGTTATATTCTAGTACCGATGCTCCTCTGTATCTATGTTATATTCTAGTACCGATGCTTCTCTGTATCTATGCTACCTGGAAATGAAAGATCTGATGTAGAAGCTGGAGGAAAGATAATAATGCCTCCATCAGCTCTAGATCAGCTGACTAGACTGAATATTGTGTATCCTATGCTATTTAAACTAACAAACAAACAGAAGAATAGAAACACACACTGTGGCGTTCTTGAGTTTGTAGCAGACGAGGGTAAAATATATATTCCCTACTGGATGATGCAGAACCTAATGCTAGAGGAGGGAGGGCTCATACAGGTCTAGAAAATCTAATTATTTTTTTTTCAGACAAAGGAATCAAGTCTTTGCTATTAACGCTGATTTTCTAATCTCCATATCTTTGCCGCATACTGTCATAGACCTTAGATATTACAAACTATGAATTCTGTTAGATCAAATCAGCTAAGTTTGAAATATGTTAGGTTTGCACCATGAGGGTGTAAAGATATAAGGAATATAAAATTACTTCACTGTATATAGTTCATATTCAGAGGTAATATGTATTTCCTTGAAAAATACACCCCTTTTTAAATTTAAATAATTTTGTTCTTCAGAAAGCATTTTTGCTCAAGTTTTTCAATTTTTTTCCCTTTCCTTTTGAAATTATGTCTTAATTTTCCTAGAAAAGTCCTACAATTAAAACTTGTAATTTTGAATATTCCTATTTATCTATTTTATAAATTAGGTTGAGTCTGCAAACCTTCCTGTAGCTACGTATAGTAAGTTCCAGCCTCTTAACAAAGATTTCCTGGATTTAACCAACCCAAAGGCTGTCCTCGAGATGAGACTCAGACACTTTGCCTGCCTCTCTAAGGAAATCATCGGAATTAATCATTTGAAACAAATATTATGAGATAGAATTTTTTGAATGTTTATTTCTATTTTTAACAACAACTTGTTATTTTTTCTGTCAGAATTTTCATCATATTTTTAAAAGAGTAAGTAATCGTTTAAAAATTTCACTGCCTCCTCAATAAAAAATGAATTTAGAATAATGGGAAATGCAGATATAGATTTGGTTTGCACCCTGTAAGAAGATAAATGAAAAGCGCGAAGAAGTTCACCGAGAATGCACAGTATAAGTAGTTTAACTAGCCATACCTATTTAAACGTCTTCCCACTATCCATCAAATCCAACCCACGAATATTTACTTGAATCCGTTGAAACTATTTCCAGGGTGATATCATAGCAATCAACTATAACAAAAAAATTTACGAGTTGAATGTTCTTGAAACTAAACCTGCTCCTGCTGTCTCTATTATAGAGTGTGATATGAACGTGGAGTTCGAGGCTCCACCAGGATACGAGGTGGGATTTAGAAACTAAAATCAGGGGTGTCGGAAACAATTTTGGGATTCCGCGCCTGGGAAATATGTATTAAACTAGGCTTTCAGGGCGTTTCGCGCTGATTTTAAATTGTAGCTTTATCGGTGAGCATTTTCTCTAAAAACAAGTTATTGTTCCCGGATTTTATAATATTTTTCGGGGATTTTAAAACTTTTACGAAACTGAAAGTTTTTAGAAGACAATTTTTAAAATTTTGAGCATCCATAAACCTTCCCTTGGGTCACCTGGGGTCATGTGAGTTACCTCAAAAGTTTTGGGCTCGATCGGTTTAGCTGTTTATTGGATGCAATCAGACAGACGGACAGATAAGCAACTTAAATATGTGGATGATGATAGATGTTGATAAATCATTTCCACTTCCCCTGCTTCTCTATCTATAAAGTGGCATGGTCAATTTTCAGTGGTAACTCTAATGATAAGGAATCAACAAGATATTCCTATCAGATTTAAGCTTATTTGATTTGATTTGATCCATGTTCTTTAACTGTGAAAATTTATTTACATATATTTGCTAGATCTACTTTACGTACACATTATACAGGAGCCTACAGTATCTAAACCTCAACCTATGGAAGAAGAAGAAGATCCTGAACTAGATATTTCACAGATGCTTCCTGAACCCTCAGGGTTTATGGCCTTCGCTGGCAGTGGAAACAGGTAATTAACCTTTCTTTATCAGTGAATATAAATATGTAAAATAGTAATCTCTGTTTGTACAATCATAACTAAGGAACCCCTGGACCAATTTGCCACAAATTTTAATTGGACAAAAATGGCAATGCCCAATTCACAACAGAAGCCTTTAGCTTTGTCTTAAGTTTGAATTAGATATCTCAAAGTTAATATTTTTGAAAAACAGATCATTTTCCATTTAACCTTCAGTAATAACCAGAAAGAGCCGGAGTTAATTGACAGTTAATCAGGGGACTTTAAATAAATATCTCTGGTAATTTAAACGCACAATAAAGGCAGACCACAGTTTGGAATTGGCAGGACTAGGGCTATTTTGTTATTATCGTTTCATAAATCATAATTGTAAAATTAGATTGTAAAGTCTTCTGATTAATTATAAATTAATTCCGGACCTTTCTGATTATGAATGTAGAAAAACGACAATATCGTCCACATTATTGATCAGATAAAGGTTAAAACGGCACTGTTGTGAATCGGGCATGGCTACCCTTGGCTTGAAATTAGGCTCCTGGTCCCTTTAAAATTTAGAATATTAAGTCAACCTCCTGTATTTAGATTGGATGGAAAGAAGAAGAGAACGAGTAGTGAGAATATGAATTTAACCTCCTGTGTTTAGATTGAATGGATAAAAGAAGAGGACGAGTAGTGAGAATATTAATTTAACCTCCTGTGTTTATATTGGATGGATAAAAGAAGAGGACGAGTAGTGAGAATATTAATTTAAACTCCTGTGTTTAGATTGAATGGTAAAAGAAGAGTGAGAATATGAATTTAACCTCCTATGTTTAGATTTGATGGAAAGAAGAAGAGGACGAGTAGTGAGAATATTAATTTAAACTCCTGTGTTTAGATTTGATGGAAAGAAGAAGAGGACGAGTAGTGAGAATATTAATTTAACCACCTGTGTTTAGATTGCATGGAAAGAAGAAGAGGACGAGTAGTGAAAATATGAATTTAACCACCTGTGTTTAGATTGGTTGGGAAGAAGAAGAGGACGAGTAGTGAAAATATTAATTTAACCTCCTGTGTTTAGATTGGATGGGAAGAAGAAGAGGACGAGTAGTGAAAATATGAATTTAACCTCCTGTGTTTAGATTGCATGGAAAGAAGAAGAGGACTAGTAGTGAAAATATGAATTTAACCTCCTGTGTTTAGATTGGATGGAAAGAAGAAGAGGACGAGTAGTGAGAACGAGATACAGAACCAGCTTCTAGCAGAGTATACCAGGGGAATACCGGACTATAATTACGAGGTAGTATTATGAAAGACATATTTGTTTGTTTTTTAATTGGAATTCAATCCAAAAACTCAATTTGACGAGTCCCCAATTTCATAAGAACATTTCTATCTTAAACTACTTAAGATGTGCTATATTCTTCTGTCTCAATTTGTTAATGTAAGGTTTGTAAATTATTAAATGTATAAAATATTCTTTTGTTTTCTTTTTGTTAATAAATGAATAGAAATGTAAAATGTTATCCCTCTTTAGCCACATTGGATCCCAAAAATTAGGAGAATGGAATGAGAGTCTTTTACAAAAAAAATTCGTTAACATCAGGTTATAATATTGTAATAATTTTATAACATAAACAGGGATATATTTTTAGGCCGGAAGTATAAAGTTTATCCGAGCAAGAAAACGGAAGGAGGAAAAGGAGAATATCGTCGACGATTTCGAGGCGTTTCAAGGACAGGGAAAGTCGCTAAGACAAGCCAAGAAGAAATAGAACACTGAAACCTCATCACCATTCTATATTAACATTCGAATAAACTACAAAATTGTGTTAATAACTATATTCCAGTCAAATAAAAATTTCCTAAGATTTAACCAAAATTTATCGAATAAGATTTTTCAGATGGACTCCGATGAGGACGGGTTTGATTATGAGGACGGAGAAGAGGAAGATTTATATTTGACAGAACCTAAACAGATTCTTTATGATATAGTTCCGTATAGAGAATGGGAACAGGAACCAGAGGTGCTTCTCATTTTACTTGATGTGTATCTAATTTCTAGATCAGTTCTATAAAAAGAGTTTCCAAGAAGTATCTTATATGAAGTTAATATTTTTTACGACATACATTACTTTGTAAAGCTCCCCAATTGCAATACCGTAACCATTTAACAAAATTTATAAAAATTCGGTATATGCTCATCTGACCTAAGGGGTTTACCGATCTGACATTGTGTTAGATCTTAAGATATGTTAGGTTAGGGTTAAGTCGGATAGGTATAATTTTAATGGGATTAGACCTAATAATAATGGGGAGTCGATTTAAATTTGTTAAATTCAGGGGTTGCTAAAACTTATCGTTTTTTTCTTTAAAAATACACGATAATTAGTATGAAGTATGGACGACCTTTAGCTTCAGCTGGTCAAAATACATTTTTTGCGCCTTCATATTAGGGATTTTTAAAGCCTTTTTTCTCAGTACTATTTACCACTGATCACTCATTATATTGGTTTAGGTTTGTAAGTATCCTGACAAGCCTACAAGAGCTGGATATTGGCCGTTTAACTCCGCTCCTATTTCTCCTTTGCCCACCCTGACCGAGAGTATTCTTTCCCACAGGATTCCCTGGATCTTTGCGGTCAGCCAGGATGCAAATCTGGTCGCTGTACTTCAGGTATTAAACTTGAAGAAATAACTTAGTTTTGATAAACTTTAACACCGTCCTTCCCTCCTCTTGTTCACAAATATTAAATTCAAATATTAGAGGTAAATGTAAAAAATGACAAAGAATTCAGTCAGTCTTCCAATTCTGAAAATTACATGTTTTCTTTTATTCATATACGTTGTTTTCTTTCTGAAACCTAAGAATGTAATACTCGAGTTACCTTGATATATCTTTTATTTACAAATAAAAATGTTTTAATTTAAAAAACTGGGTTTCATTTCTGGAGTTAATATAATAATATTACTTCTTTTTAGCACAGATAATTTTTAAGCTCAAAAATAAAAATTAAACAATATTACTAATAAGATTAAATTTGTAAGAAGCCTAAACTGGTTTTCGTAGAGAAGTGTTTTACAGGTCATCACAGTTTTCTTAAAACATGGCATTATAATATTGTTTTAATCACAGATAATTTAGTAAAGTGTCAAAATTTACAAAAAGATTGAAAAATGATTACAAAAATTTACAATTACGTTAGGAAATATTTTGATTATGTTGAATTTATACGAAGAACCTGCCAGAGCCAATCTTGGAACTGGTTCTAGGAGGAGGGTTCCATGAGGTATGGGGCGAGTTCCTCGTCTTCGAGGTCGCCTGCTCCCGGAGCTTTTTCAATTGAACCTCGGCGCTCATAATGATATACTCTGCTCGAACCTTCATCTCCTCTACTGAGAAGGCTTCACGAAGAAAATCAGGGGTTTGATCTTGAGTAGGAGCTGATCTTTGTACTAGTCTAGATACTTCAGCAGTAGTATTCATCTGTCGGTAGGAGTCTTGATAGTTCGGTTTCTCCGACCAAGAGGTCTCAGCTCGATTTTTGTTCTGAATCTGACTAGGCTGATACCTCCTTTGTATCGGTAATGTCGGATTGGATTCCGGCTGATACGTCCTTCGAGTCTGATAGGACACAGACTGGTCTGTTCTTCTCATCTGTCCTATTTGATCCAATCGACTCATATCGGAAGGTTGATTAACATTAAACCTGCGGACGCAAAGAGCGTTTCTTATGTCAAAAGATTCTCCATCTGTATCTTTTTGAGCTTCAGATTGGTCCTGTTCAGACATGGTTCTGTATCCTCTCCTCCAGGTTACAACAGCGTTAGAATATCTTGGTATAGGAGACAGCTTGATCCTTGGTTTGGTTAGTATACGTTTAGTTGCTGGATTCACTTCAACTACTCTACCCTCTACCTGTTTCAGGTTCAGGTTTAATCTTGCCTCATCAGCCTCCTCCTTGGTCGACATTGTAATGAATCCAAACCCTTTGGATCCCTTGTCATTGTAGATTATCTCAGCATCGGAAACTCTTCCATACGGAGAGAAGAGTTTAATTAGATCCAGCTCTGTGTATTTAAAAGATATATTAGAGACGTGAAGTCTTCTCTCCGTCTCTGTATCGCACTCCTGAAAAATAAACCTTTATATGCTTGGATCAAAATATCTCGAGTCTGAAGTCCAAACTTATGTGGTGTGAATCCCGGGATCAAACCTTGATCTCATCTTATGAAGATCTATAGATCTATTTAATTTATCTTGATAAACATACCCTGCAGGGATAATTTTGATTAAGGGATCATATCCAAATCCAAATCCAAATTTACAAGTGCCTATTTTGGATATCCAGATGAAGATTAAAAATATCTACACTAAAGTTCAGATATGGAATTTATAAGATTATAATTCAGATTGCTTGGAATGTAATCAACGTCGTCCCTCGATAATNAATAAGCACAAATATTTTACCTCCATGTCTTTGACCAGGTCAATCTTAGAGACTCCTACTTTCACCCTGGGTACAATCGGCACACATGCATACTGAGGTTTTACACTTCCCGAAGAGGGATTCATGTTCATATCAGGACGGACTCTTTCCCCTGGAATGAACTTAAGATCCGGATTCTGCTCCGACTGAGTCTGATGATCATACTGATCTTCTTTGCCCTGAATGCGCTCTGCTGGGTGCTGTACACGTTGAATTGGGATCTCATAGTTCTTCTCGTCTTCAACACCATGTTCAGGTTCATACTTAAGATGTTCACGCTCTGTTGGAGACTTATAGCACCAATCTTGTAATCTAAACTCTTCTTGAGAACTGATCGGATCCGGAGAAAAACTCCAGATTTTATCATTGAGTTCATTCCAGTCATACTCATCCGGACTACCACATTCATCCTCACCCAGGGAGTTCCGGTCTCTCATAATCCCATCATCTTTATAAATCTGATGAGAAAGATACTTCGATGAAATCCACAAATCTTTAATTCCACTGCGCCTGCTTCTAGAGTTCTGTCCGATTCCAGATGAGATTCCTGTCTTTAAAATTGGCTCCCCCCGGTTTTCATCTTGCTCTAATCTCATGTAGGGTCTAAAACTGCCTTCTCTCAGCATTTTGACCACTCAACCCCCGACTCTCCTTTCCTGTTCCTGGTTCTCTTTCTACTGATGATTATTTATCATCCGTGGTTTTGTCGGAAAAAATCAGAAATAATATTGGTTAAAAGTGTTTGGCTAACCGCTGCGGCTTCTCTGTTGGCGGCAAATATCAAAGGCGGCATCCTTAGAGTTTTCATGTCGGCTTCTTTGAAGTGTGACTTGTCTAAAACCGGTTTTCTAAAGAGGGAACCATGGCAGCCAGTTTTGAATCAAAAAATATTATTTATGTTTAAATATAATTCTCAAAGGAAAAAAAAAATCATAAAAAATCTATTATGTCGTAATCTTCATAATAAAAACTAATAAAATAATTTCCTCTAGTTCAATGCAGGCAATGCAGGGGCGGATAAACAACCCCAACCTTCAGGAAAAAACTATTCAGGATTTAATAAATCGAAATATATTTCTAGGATACTGTACTGGAGGTTTGGCACAGCAAGGATAGTTATGGAACTATGGTTGGAAGACGAGGGGTGAGAAAGGACCCTGCTCCGTCCTGGAGATCACTAGCCTGGAGTGAGGACGCTCAGCTCCTGGCTGTAGGATTCTCTGACGGAGCTATTGAACTCTGTGATACATTAGGCATGGATTTATAAATTAATTAACAAAAATAAAAATTTTGAAGAGAAAATATTTTTTAAAATTTGTTTAGCCTTAGGCCAGTGGCCCCCCTTGAGTGTCCACAAAAAGATTTAACCCAATCGGTCCAGCCGTTTGGCCGGCTATACGCAATATATATATGAATGTCTTGTTTTATTGCATAGATAACGATTAAAAATAGTGTGTTTATGATTGGTTGACTTGTCTATCTTTTTATTATGTTTTGTGAGCCGGGTTTTCTCTATTTCTACGGAATGCATATTGACTGTTAATTATTAAAATCATCCTATGAATTGCAAAGATTATTATAATATTTATTATTATAATGAATAATGTACAATTTTTTTTTGGTTAATTTAAATAACATTAAGATAATATTTATGATTGGCAGGGGCGTATTCAGTAATTTGTCCAGGGGGGGGGCTTAATTGTTTTCTATACAGAGGGGGGGGGGCTCATCTCCCTTTGGGGCCTAAAAAGCCCCCTGAAATCCTTAGATTTCACCGTTCCAGGGGGGGGGCTCAGTCCCCAGAGCCCCCCCCCCTTGTACGCCTCTGATGATTGGTACACGTCAGGGGCTTATGCAGGGGCTTACCTTATTTGACATTGTCCGGGGAGGGGGCGTTTCACTTTTCATGGAATGGGGTTCGGGTGTAGCCAACCCAAATTGCCAATGTTTGTGTATTATTTATGAATGAATCCTGTAACTAGGAAGTTTAATCTATCAGATAATAACGCCTCAGATTCCCTCCAGTCAACCTGGGTTCAAGGATACCATCAGGAACATTCAACCTACTTCATTTATTATTATCATTGTTGTTTTTATTATTATTATGCTTAGCTTTCTCTAGTTCTAGAAATCTAGACCGATTAGTTTTTACCAAGGGGTTTAATGAAATAGTTATATTGATTACTAAAAACAGAAGGGAGTTGGACAGCACAAATTGTGAATTAGATATGGCTTAATTGTGTTAGTATCTGATCATCATTTTTTTTTTAACAGTTAAGATTCTTTTACTTTTTGGTAAATAGATGAGTTAGTTTTTTAAATTATAGTAGGTTCATGTTCAGAAGGGAGGCCTGCAGTTTATCATATGTTTCTATATTCTTCACAAATACAAGGTAAATATGTCTAGGCTACGTATCCAAGTGGCATGCGGTCATTTAATGATGTTTATAGTAAAAGGTCTGAACACTTGAGTCTTCTTGTAAGATTCGTGTCTTGATAACAAAATATTTTCTGAAAAAAAGTAAGCTGGGGGAATAAATTTTCAAAAAAAAAAAGGGAATTTTACTACAAAACACATTATTATTTTAGATAAAAAATCAAGGGGCGTCTACAAAACAAAAGTTTCTTTATTATGAATCTTCGAGATAAAAGGTCATTAGCAAAATAGATTCCCCTTGATAAAAAAATGAAACCCAGAAATTCTTGTATATTCAGTTCTTTAGAACATTATTGGTTTTAGGCTCCGGGATAAAAAATGGATGAGTGAGTTGGTTCTAGTTGATGTTGGAGGACGGATAAATAGTTTTCTTGTTTCATCTTCAGGATACCAGGTCTCTTTTTTTTATATTACTAGCCTTCTAAATTAATTGTGAACATGTTCTGTTTGTGTACATCGTAAAACAAAACAAAAATAATTCGCGGATTTTCACAAAAAATTTCGTGGATTTTCAAAATTTTAAAAAATTTAATGAAGATCGAATTTTTATGAAGACAAATATTTAAAATTTTGATCATTCATAAACCTTCCCTGGGGTCCCTAGATGTCCCACAAAAAATTTGGGCCCGATCGGTTCAGCCGTTTTGACGTTTATTGGATACAAACAGACAGACAGACAAACAGACAGACAAGCCAAATTTATATATAGATTAATTATAGTTATAATACAGGGGGTGTATATTTTCTCGAAAAATAATTTTTCTTCCCCCCATTTGGAAATAAGTTTTCCCCCCTCCCAGAAGTTATAGCTTGCTAGGGTTTTGTTTTATTCGATGAATTAAGGAAAAAAAAAAAACACAATAAATGTTTAAGTAAAAAGTATTAAAAAGAACAATGTTGATGTCCAATTTCAAATCTGAAAAATATACCCCACGTAATTTAATATTTAGATATGCTATTTATATTTTTGTTCAGATTAGTCAACTTGTTCATAAAGAAGGTTAAGAAAGTTGATTAATAGTCAAAAAAATGTGTGATTAGTGCAAAAGTGTACTTTTTTGTGCAACTCTCCTCTTTTTTCTCTCTCAAAATCTAAAGTTGAAAAAGATCAAATTTGAAAATTTTGTAAATATTAAATAACAGAATCACAAAAAATTCGCAAAATTGTTTTAAGAAAATTCGCAATTTTCAGTTCTGGTCTAATTTTTAAGGAAAAGTTGTTTTTCAATGGCTCTCAGTTTTCAACTGCGTATATTTTTAACCTTAGAATATGCTAAGAAGAAAGGAACTAGAAGGTTAAAAGAACTTTTCCTTAAAAAACTGAAATTTGAAATTTTCTCATTACAATTTTGCAAATTTTCTGTGATTCTGTTATTCAATCTTTTTTAAATTCTAGAATTTGATAGAAATAATATATATTCACACTTTAGCTTTTCTAAACTTTTGATTTTGAGAAAAATAAAGTAACGCGGATTTTTTTTTTAACCATTGTAGTCCACCAAAAAAATATTTTAAATATTGAATAAATACCATACAGTCTAATTTTTTACCTGCATTTTGTATTTGATATATATATAGGAATTAAGCAGTTATTCCGTTGGATGGAATCTAACCTCTGCCGTATTCTCTACACCAAATAATATATTGATAACAGCAGGTAGTAAACTGTTAACTTAAAAACTACAAAGGATAAAGATTAAAACCCACCTGCCCCTCCAATCTCCATAATATTGTTTTTGGATATTTGAAAAAAATCGTCTGTTCCCTATATTTATACTTTCACACAAAAAATTTGTGTTTTTATTATTATTTTTGATAGGAAAATTTTCTATTTAATTGTGAGAGAATTTTTTATTCCTGTCATAGTGCTAAATTGTAGCAACACTGACAGGTGTAAAAAAAATTCACAGAGCTACCTTCAAAACATTAAATTTTTATTAAAGATAACAATTTCTAATAGAACGATTTAAAGGTTAGATTTAGCTTAAGAATTCAGAAATGTCCTTTATTTTAAAGTATATTATTTGAAGAAAAAACACGTTCGTAGTTCACAGGGAACAAAAAATATTTGTTAAAAGGAGCAAGACATCCGCAAGTAGTCTCTGAAGTTAATGGGTATTGAGTAACTCTGAATAAACCAAATAAATTAATTTTTCTTTTTAGGAAAATCTCCCTTGTGTGGTAAATCTAGTTTAGTTGGTAGAGCAAGCCATTCCGGGATATTAGCTTACAGGTGATGATATTAATTTGGTTCATAATATGTTTTATAAGTTTTTTTAAATAGAAATTTTTACATTGGATAAAGCCCAAAGCTAAGCAAATGTGTCTTTAACAACATTTAAAAAATCTAAAACCTTAATATTTTTCCTAAAAACATTAAAAATTGTCGTGAAATGAAAGTTAGGTTAGATATTGTACATTGAGAAGTAATGATTTTATTTATTTTATCAATGGTTCAACCCCACTATTTTAAAATCAAATTAATCTTTAAATTATATTCTTATAATTTTTATTAATGAAGACTGATAAACGATGCTCCGCATTATGTGAGTATCATGGATGAATCTGAACTCCGAGCTCTGAACACAAGATCATTCCATCTTCCATTCATTGCATCACCTCCACAAGAAGAAATAATTATCAGGTTTCATAAAAACAATGTTTTTACAAGAACAATTTCAAATTATCTAAGTATCCTTCCATTGTTAATTTTTTAACTTCTATTAACACTAATCTTATCATTTTCTCTCTTTACTTAAACTTTCCCATTTTTGATTCATTCTTTATTTAACATTTTCTTACAAAACATAAAACCTTTTAAAGCTATTAGACAGATGTTATATATTTTATGAAGCAAGAAAGAACTACTTTAAACATTTTACTACTAAAGCCTGATTTCTTCTTTTCCTCATCGAGATCTTTTTAACGTTTAGGATGTGTGTATCCGAGAATGGTGGAAGGTTGGGAGCTGTCCACGAGTCCGGAGCTATCTCTGTTTGGGTTCTGCCTGGATTCATCCTTGTATCCCTCACCAAGCTCTCGGAGCAGCCTGGGTTCGATGAGATGAACCCACAACTTCTCCAGGTTCAGAACAAGAAGAAAATGAAAGCAGAGTTCCTTGCAAATCCTTTCAGATTCCATCCTGTGGATATCTCGTGGTGGAACGAGGAAAGTTTAATTATCTCAAGGATCTCCGGAGCTCTATCCGTCCTACGGATGGAAGATCTAGACAATCTTCTCGGAGATGCTCCAGAGTTTTTAGATGGAGTTCCCCGCATTTCTCAATCCTTTGAGAAAGGTTTCTTTGCTCTGGAGTGTGAATCTGCAGTGAAAGGAAGAAGACCTTCGACGATTGACGATTCGGCCGGCGAGGATCCCGACGTGGAGTTGGATGTTGATAGCGATGACGAGGACGGTTCCTGGATCTCCCTGGGGAAACGGTCCGCCTCCGCCATCGCATATTTCATGACAGATAACGAAAGATTTGCCCCGCCGAAGAAAAAATCAAAGATAATGCGAAAAACGTTCCGACTGATAGCCTTGGTTTCAACCAACCCTGAGGAGCTCTACGGAAGAAAGATCGACTCCGAAGAGTATGGTGAAGCTATCATGCTCGCTCAGCATTACAAGCTTGACACGGATCCGGTATATGAACGCCAGTGGCGGAAATCCAACAAGTCGGTGGCAGCTATCCACGATTATCTCAGTAAGATATCACGACGTGCAACTGTGTTTAATGAATGTTTGGAAACTATACCTATGGATATTGATGCTGCAAGGGAGCTGCTTAGATACGGTTTGTCTGGAACAGATCTGGAATCTCTGATTTCTATAGAAAACGAGGATTCAGGGAAATATATTTCTTGTACAAGGGAGAGCTTACTGGATGACTGGGAGGACGGATTGAGCCCTGAGGAGCAGGAGAAACGGAAACTAAGAAAAGAGAGAGAGGAGAGGATGAAACTGATATCCAGAGTGAAATGGCAAAGTTTAAATCCTTCCCAGATAGCCTTGATCGGTTCCAGATTAAAGCTTCTCTACTACTTGGATATACTAGATATCTACGAGGATATCCTTGGAGGAGGACAGTTTGCAGCAGACAGGTTTCAACCTGCTCAGTACAGACGGATGAGATCATTAACTCCGTTAGAGAACTGTCTACTAGCCGCTAGGAGCAGTGATTCTCTCACCATATCTGCTTTCTTCTCTGGCGTTCACGCTAAACTTGTCCTTCCTCATTGGCTACCAATCCTTAGTGTCATCCCTGAGACAACAAAAGCATCACTTTTTCAGGTAAGAAAACTGGATTTTTAAAAAATTATTTTTATTTTTAGAGTTCATTGGATTCTACTAAACATGTTCAGGATATCCTGCCCGGGTTGAATATGGATGGAAAGTGTATCCCTTGGATAAATGTAGAGAGTAGAGAACCGGACTGGGCTGAGCAACCACTTTGCTCCAAGTGGTCCGGGCACAGGTAATACAGGGTCACCCACAAAGAATGAGTCTGTTTTCATGTTTATTTTTTTTATATCAGAGAAAATAGAAAACTTAATTCATTAAGAGGCTTGAAACAATTTTTTGCAGATAGACAAATTACGTATTTTTTTTAAATTCATGCATTGACAGAGATATGCAAGTTTTCATGAATACGAGGTTTGTTCTATAAGTTTTGCGAAAAAAAAAAATATTTAAAGGTACTTCTAGACGTCTCAGCTCTATCTGTAATTTTTTCTTCAAAGCTCACTATCCATCCTATCCCGGGTGTCTTCTTCCAAGAGACTTTATTCATCAAATTTTTTTTTTCTATGTAAGCCGCCATTTCCCAGAGGTTGTTTAGCTCCGTTCTTACACCACGGGAATGTTTTTAACATCAACCAGCGAAAGAGGACAAGTAGACTGAAAGCGGACAAGTAGACTGAAAGGGGAAAAGTGTAATGGAGAGTGTTGGCAGGATGAGGAAAACAGGACAACATTTTCTCCAAAGAGCAGATTAAAACTATGAAAACTTATTGAACATCCCTCGTACTTCTGTTAAAATATCAATTTATCGTTATTTAGTTTGTAAACCAACATAGTAATTTTAAGGGTTGAATATGACACTTCTATTCTGTATGAAGAAGACTCAGCTCTGCAAGGTTTCAACTCGACCAACCTGACTCCGGGTCTAATATCTCAGTGGTATGAGTGGAGAGCTCGGAAAATCACAGAGAAAACAAGTTTACCAGAGCTAGGATTGGATCTACTGCAACAGGTACTAATTTGAATTTTATCATTACATGGTTCTCATGCATTATCTAATAATTATTCTTGCCAGGGTCTAGAGAGGAACGTGAGGATAAACGCAACCTTAGTGAACAATCTCCGAACCTTGGATGCACTGGTCTACGAGGTTCAGATTAACATCAACCTGGAGACATTCGAGAAAATGTCAACCCTGGAGCAGATGGATTGTTTGATGTCGAGAAGGTTTGATCTTCTAACTGATATCCGTAGTCTTCTTGTCCCTTTCCTGTACAGGTTGGGTGATTCCAATCAGGAAGATTTCTACAGTACTCTCTCTGACTTCTGTCTAGACCAGGCAAGGACGGATCTAAGTATACCTGTAGCTGTTATAGAGAACAGCGGACCCTGGTGCCAGGGACCTATTCTCCAGGAACCAAGGGATATTGTTAAACTAGCTCTGGAGTCGTGTTACTCCCACCAGTCCGGAGCTCAGATGGAGTTTATTGATAGAATTTCGAGATGTATCGAGGAATATTATGAAGTTGCTCCGGGTAGACCAAGACTAGATTTTATCCAGGATCACAAGCTAGACCGGGAGATATTTAAAAACTTCATGCAGCATCTTGAAATTAGTAAGATATTAAGCAAAAATGGCGTCAGTAGGCCGTTATCTCTTTTCAAAACAAATAAGTCAGACCGAGAAGTAATGCAGAAGGTTTTCGAGGCCGTCACATGTCAGGCAGAGGCTGCTAAACCCTCCCTGGATCAGGACGGATGGAGAACTGTGCTCAGAGATCTTCAACGTCTTCAGAAACTGATCCCAGTGGTTCCAATACAGAGAGTGTTCTACATGTTCTGTGAGAGTTTACTCTCCTCCGGGTCTCCGGCCAACATTGATCTGGCCGGAGATGTTCTCCAGTCCATGATGGAACCAAAAGATCAGGTTTCATTAATTATCACCGCCTGGACACATTATTTCAGTACCAGCTCAAACCTGAACGATCCTAACATTAAGCTTGCCAAACATTGTCTCTGCCTTATCAAGTCTAGTGCTAAGGAAATTATTGACTGTGGGGATTTGATCAGCTCTCTCCAATCCCTGGCCGACTTTGGACTTCCACATATCCATCCTGTAACTGTTCTTAATGCTAAGAACAGATTGGATTTTGTTGTTCAAGCATTGAATGCCAAACCTCATGCATACAAGAACTCTCAAAGGCTGATGAAGTTGGCCACCCTGTTGAAAGCTGAGAGTATAGATAAACTGGAAGGCTTGGTTTGGACTCTAGTTGCTAGAAAAGCTCTGGAGGTTGGGGACTTCAACGCCTGTCAGACAGCATGTAACAATATTATTCAGGGCGGGTATACTCCGGGTTGGGACGTGTGCTTTGCTCTCGGAGTTAAAGGGGAGCTCTCAGATCTACAAAAGAGCCTGGATCTTCTCTCCTTCTCAGTGACCCACTGTGATCCAGGAAATATTGAGAATGTTGTTCTGTCTCTTCTTAAAGTTGAACAAAAATTACTCCACTCAACTATATCCGCCAAGGCGGAGACCACGGGAGAGGATGTGTTCACAGATGTAGAAGACGAGTCCGAGGATAAGTTTGAAGATTCAGTAGAAAACATAAATCCTAGATCTAGGTCGCCATTTCCTTATGTTAGTGATGTTAAGAATACGTTGTTTAACGTGACCCGTCTGTCTACAGCCTATCTAGTTGATAATGAGATTAGTAGATCTGTACTAGCTAGTACCACATCTTTGATTCAGAATATAGCTAGGAAACAAACTACAGACAGCTACGTTGATGTTGACATGACAAGCTTCAATAGTTTCAGGTTTCCCGCATTTTATTCATCACTGTTTACAGACAATGCCGATGTGAATGAGAGTTTGGTGGATTTTAACTTCAGAAAATATTCTTTGCCAAGAATTGAGAATAATTTATCAGTTGCGTCTCAGCAAGGGTTACGTTCACAGCTTCTCTCCGGGGTGCTTCTAGATCTTTTCTCCAACACCGAGCCTACTGAGAGAGTTGTTCCAGAGGAACTTTTGAAAGAATTAATTCCTGTAATAGCAGGACAGGATATTTTTCAGGTATAATTTCCACCAGATTAAATCTAAATAAAAATTATTCCCGAAAGTATGCAACTACTCTAAAAGTCTGATTTGATAATAAATGTCGTCCTTCTACACCACAGTTTTATGAGTCGTACTGTAGAATTAGATGAAGGGGAATGTTTCCTAATATTTTTAGCTAACTATGTAGGTTCTTATTTCTAGGGATTGGGATTATTGGTTTCTCTGGTAGAGGAAACCAACAGGAAACCTCTGCTCCTGTCTCTACCTCAAACTGTTCCCAGCCTAAACTTTATCCTCACCTACCTGGCTATTTTAATCAACCAGAAGATGGGGATTAACCAGAAACAGATATTTCAGACTACGCCAACCAATCTCCTGAAAAACGCAATAAAAGGTATATTTTATTTAGTCCTTAATTGTTGAATTATTCGACATCAACCTTGTAAGAATGTTGTAGCAATTTAAAAGATTAAAAGTTGCCAACATTAGACATCTTTAATGAATCACCCTGTATAACATTTCTTGTAGAATTCGGAGGTGTTTCGCCCACTAGACTTAATATTTCTCTTCAAACGAATGTTAATTTTCCTAACACTACCATCTCCCAGATTTAGTAAATAGTAAGGTTCAAACAGTTCTCTTGTGCGCCGAGTCAAGCTAAGGAAGTTTAGTTTAGTCTACGTAGTTCAACTACTTTACTTTTTCATTAAATCTGTAGCTGATGAAGTAAACTTTGATTCAATTTAGATTTTTTTGAACTTTCGCAACTAATTAATACTAAATGGAAAAATATTTGAAAAATTCTATACTTCCTCAAATTTTCATTAAAACTGATAACCTGTATTTAAGGAGCTGAAGAGAAGGCTGATATAGAACCTGATCTTAAACTTCTCCATGAGGTCCTAGAACTAGCAGTAGATTACAACCAGGCCACTATCTTAGGTCAGGCCGGAGATGTGGACATTCAAAGATTTACAAGGGATCATCAATACCAGGTCAGAATTATTTAGCTTTTAATGTGTTTTTTTTTACATCGAAAACTTGCTAAGTACATTTAGGGACTTTTACAAATCTGGAGAAAAATGCACTTTTTGTTTAATATTAACTATGTAATTTTGCAGGAGGATACGATCCTTGGTTTAGCTCGGTTTCTTGAACCGGAGAACTGGGAGTTCACGTGCACACTGGCTAAACGTTATAAAGTGGATACTTGGATAATAGCAGCCACTCATACAGAGGTAGGGTACAGGATACATGGCTACATGTTCATGTGTATTGTGTAACTTTATCCTAGATTTACGATACATAGTATATACTAGGATACTAGAAGCCACTCATACCGAGGTAGGGTACAGGAAATAAAGATGTATGTTCAGTCCCATGTTTATCTCCAAGCTTTAACGCATAATACTCGAAAAACCTAGTATTTTCTGCATACAAATTTCTTTATTAGCCTTTTTGATTTTTTTTTAAATGGTTCATTCTTTTTAAATTTTCCGATTTATCCAGAATATCGCAATTTAGAGCTAAAACAATTAAAGAGCCGACATTGTGACTTTTTACAACTAATAATATAAATGTTTAGGCAATCTTTGTTGAGAGTGAGGACACCACATATATTCGGAATATTCTGGAGAAAAGAGATCTCTGTAAAACCTTGCAGCTCAACCCTACTCGATGGAGGGACTGGAGTACTGAGAGAATATTCCCACTTCTAGATGGAACTAATCAGGATAAACTTATCCTCTATTTTCATCTCATGTATGACGTGACGAAAGATGAAAAATATTTATCTGACAAAGAAGCGCTTAGTTTACTCGGAGCAGGACGGGTTAATATTGATTATATTCGTCTTGTAAACGGAGATTTATCAGTTCTTGATCCGCTTGACTCCAGTAGTATGGAGGTGGTTGCTAAGGTCGTGGAGAAATTACCTGAGATGGAAGGAAGAAATCTTACAAGTTCAAAGATTTATCTTGTCTTTGCTGAGAAGGAATTTTTCCGTAGACGAGCTGAATATGATAATTGGATCGAGTCCTTCTCCAATATCCAGGATACTCTGGAGAAACTAGACCCAGAGAGTTTTAAGCTTTTCATGATTACAGTTCTGTTGTCGGAGAAAAGTTTATCTGTTATAAACCGCGGATCTCGGAGTAGGATAATGAAGAAATCTATCAAGTTTATAGAAATCAAGATTGCGGAGAAGGCTGTAGGAGACTGGACTGGAGTACTAACCTGGGCTCAGAAACTTAAATCTCATCTAGACAAACTTACCTCTAAACTAACAGAAGGAATCCTTGGATCTCTGGAGCTAGGTGATATGGATGCAGTTAATAGGTTTGAACTGACAGGAGGAGAGAATTCGAAAATTTTAAACTTTCTTGTAAACCTAGTTCACACTGGAGCAGAGCAAAGTTTAATCATGAAACTGATTGCAATCTGGAAACAGGATGAGATGGTAGTAGATGAAGGGTTTGCTCAAATATTTTCGTTTTCTGTCGAATCCCTAAAATCAGGATCAGATATCAGCCACAACTTGACTCTCTGCATTCAGAGGATGCTGGATGAGTTTGAAGTTTGTCCAGAGAATCTGAGAAACGTTCTTACTCCGCTCTGCACGCTTGAAACAATATCCGTCTCCGACAGATTGACATTTGTTCAGATTTTAAAGAAAACTAAGACAGCAGAAGAGCGTGAGGAAGAGTTTGATAGCAGTTTTCTCTCCGAGCTGTACCAGGTCCAGGAGAAGGTTCAGGGTATAGTTCCAGACTTCAAGGTCTTAGAACAGGATATTGAGAGTGATGAAAATAAGATAAAACTGTTCTCAAGGTTGATAGAAAAGTGTGTAACGTGCAAACAGTTCCGGGAGCTGTCAGAGTACTTACTGGAGTATTTCTCGGAGGATAAACCGAACTGCAGGAAATGTCTTCTGAACCTTATCAATAAAGGATTGGGTTTAAATCTAGGAACAATTCCTTCTTTAAATCTGATCCTACAAGTTGCCGAATATTTAACAGATGAGGAAGTACAAACCATCCTGACTACTTGTGCTGGAACGAAGGAAGAACTTTATATAATGCTGATTTTGAAACTAAAGAAGAAGGAAAGATATAATGAAATCTGCAAGGTGAGACTAAAAATCTATTTTATTTAAAAAAAAACTTATTTATCAGTTCATAATTTTTTTCTTCAAATCCTAAAGTTTTTATTTTAAATATATTTTTAGATGGTAACAAAACTTGAGTCGGTTGAGGATGAAACCCTGGTTGGATTGGTGGAGGAAGGGTTAGGAGCTGAGCTTGCAACCTCTGCTCTGTATCCGAGGTTGGTGGAGGCTGTGCTGGGAGCAGAGTTAGGATCAGATCTTGTCAGTCAGCTGACCCAGGCTGGTCAAACTCCACTAGCATTAGCTTTACAGGTTAACATTACTGCACTCACATTTCAAGTTTTAAGGGAAAAAAATAGATTTATAAAAATAAAACTTTTTCGACTTTTATGAGGGGAGAGGTATTTCTTTCTTTAGAATCTACGAGAGTGATTTTTTTTTGATTTTACGAAATTTTTTTAAATCTTTAAGGGAATATTTTTCAAACAGGGATATTAAATTATCTTGCATGTTCGCTATGAAACTTACTCTGAAATTATTTTTTCCCCATAAAAAAAAATTTATATTACTTGAGTTGAATATTTAAAAAAAAATTTCTCTGAAATTATTTTTTCCCGTAAAAAAAAATTTTATATTGTTGAATATTTAAAAAAAAATTTTCTCCGGAAAAAGACTTTCTTTGTTAGGAAATATTTTGGAGTATTAGGTCAATGATGATATATAGATTATGATGTATGTAAAATGTTTAATATTCTAGCTTCTGTCCTCTGGTGTACCTGGAGCTTTGAGAACAATGGCCTCATTCCGGTTCCTAAATCCTAAGTAGTTCCAAAACCCTACTTATTAAAACCTACACTTTCAAAATCGTACAGATGAAAAGAAAGTTGTATTTGTACAATGTTTTTGTTTAATGTAATGGATAAATCACCTCTGCTCAGCAGGAACGGAGAAGTGTGATCCATCCTGTGATAATATATGCTTGTAGTTTTTTCATCTCTATATTTCTATAGTATATAATGTATATTGTATATGCACCGGTTGAAGATAATCAAATTTATTTTGTTAAAGGAGGCGTTGCATCAATGACATTTTTCAATATCTCAGTAAATAATGGTGCTAGCCGGTTCTACTTTTGCATGTATACTCATCTGATGCTTTAGGAACAGGATAAGAGATTAAATCTTCAATGTCTCCGTTCGGAGACCGGAGATATGGGATAAGGTACCTCCGTCGGCTCCGATTTTTTATCTCCGGCCCTAATGAACTTACAGAGCCCAAATTCAACAAACATACACCTAAGGACCTATATAATTTAATAAAAAAATTCTTTTAAAAAATTTCGATTTTTTCTTGCAAAGACAGGGTGTCAAAAAATGGCATTTTTTCATTTTTTTTAAATGTCTTTTTTGGGGGTGTTCCGATAAAAAATAACGAAAGAAAAAGGGTACAGAAAATGATTTAAAACTATTATGAATCTTTTTTAGAAAAGGCGGTTTTCAAAAAAATGTTCACATCACCCCCTACAGGGTGTCCCAAAAATATTTTCCACTCATTTTTAAAATTCTATGAGTTTTACTATCAATAATAATGTTAGCCGGTTCTAATTTTGCATGTATACTAATGTGATGCTCTAGGAACAGGATTGTATCGTCAGTTCCCAACCGACGAATCAACAAATAAAAGGTTCGTCCTACCTATCTAATCTCGTCCTTGATACGGGCTTTGTAATCCAACGGTTATAGGAACAGGGAAACGGAAACTAGTGAACCATTCTCCTGAAGATAGTCTCGTACTCAATTCAAAACTAGGGATTGACCAAATCAATAATAATTTTATGGTTTCTAAATAAAAGATTCCCAGGATGAACGAAAAGAAATAAATGGCGTAAAAAGACTAAAGACAGTAAAATAAGTTCATCCTTGATAATAAATATACTAAAATCTGTACTGGGTCTCAAAATAAAATCCGGTAAGTTCACATTTAACCCTGAAATCACCTTAATCCGTCCTCTGACGATAAACATAGATAGGAAGCACTGTAAACTTCAACCATTCTCTCCGAGCTATTAAACCCAAGCTCTTATTGCTTAATTCTGAAAAGGATCCAATCAATAAATATCAGGGTAGAAAAAAAAAACACATATCAACAGAAAACCAAAACTCTATAGCTAAAATATGGCGTCTTCTGTACTACGCACGGTGCAGTGTAGACTGCAGCAACGAAATAAAATTATAGACTGCTACAGCGAAACTGACCCTGTATAAATCCGCGTCAATCACAAGCTCTGAGATGATATGGACAAGAAACTTAATTTCCGGCTGGGCCCTGGAAACACTAAACAAGGATATGAGATCAAATCTTCAATGTCTCCGTTCGGAGACCGGAGATATGGGAAGGTACCTCCCTCGGCTCCGATTTTTTATCTCCGACCCTAATGAACTTACAGAGCCCAAATTCAACACACATAAACCTAAGGACCTATATAATTTCATAAAAAAATTCTTATTTCAATTTTTTCTTGCAAAGACAGGGTGTCAAAAAACGGCATTTTTTCATTTTTTTAAAATGTCTTTTAGGGGTCTTTCAATAAAAAAAACGAAAGAAAATGGATTCAGAAAATCTTTTAAAACTATTAAGAATCTTTTTTAGAAAAGGCAGTTTTCAAAAAAATGTTCACATCACTCCCTACAGGGTGTCCCAAAAATAATTCCCACTCATTTTAAAATTCTTTAGAGTTTTACTATCAATAATAATGTTAGCTGGTTCTCCTTATGCATGTATACTCATCTGATGCTCTAGGAACAGGATATGAGATCAAATCTTCAATGTCTCCATTCGGAGACCGGAGATATGGGATACGGTACCTCCGTTGGCTCCGATTTTTTATCTCCGGCCCTAATGAACTTTCAGAGCCCAAATTCAAAACAGCTACACCTGAGGAACTATAAAATTTAATAGAAAATAAAAAAAATTATTTTCGATATTATCATAAGAAGACAGGGTGTCAAAAAATTGTATTTTTTTCATTTTTTTAAATGTCTTTTTTGGGGACTTCCAATCAAAAATAACGAAAGAAAAAGGGTAAGGAAAATGTTTCCTTAACTATTATGAATCTTTTTTCAGAAAAGGTGGTTTAAAAAAAATGCCCATCACTATCAGGGTGTCTTAAAAATATTTTCCACTCATTTTTAAAAATCTATCAATAATGGCGTTAACCGGTTCTACTTTTGCATGTATTCTAATCTGATATTCTAGGAACAGGATAAATTTTTGAAAAAAATTTTTTTTATTAAATTATATAGGTCCTTAAGTGTATGTGTGTTGAATTTGGGCTCTGTAAGTTCATTAGGGCCGGAGATAAAAAATCGGAGCCGACGGAGGTACCTTATCCCATATCTTCGGTCTCCGAACGGAGACATTGAAGATTTGACGTCATATCCTGTTCCTAGAGCATCAGATGAGTATACATGCAAAAGTAGAACCGGCTAGCACCAATATTTACTGAGATATTGAAAAATGTCATTGATGCAACGCCTCCTTTTAGATTGCATTTTATGTTGAATATTTTGTTTCAGGGGAAATGTCTGAGGAAATTGAAGGAGACGAGTTTATTGTTGATAAAATCCTGGATAAGAGATCTAGGAATGGAAAGATCGAGTATTATCTCTCATGGAAGGTAGGAATAATATTATTCTATGTCTGTTCAGTTCCCTGCCTGCCTGCCTGTCTGCCTGCCTGTCTGCCTGCCTGCCTACCTAACGTATGATGGGTGCCTCTGACAGTCGCTGCATAACGTTATTTGATTTGATTTAATGTATCTTTAGGAGACAGCATTTTTATATAAAAACCTATAAAATCTTGAAATCTCCAGGATTACATAAAACTAAATCTATTTGAAAGGCTTAAACTTCTCATTAAGAACGATTCTTCGACAAAATAAAAGGAGAGCTTGTACGTTCATTAATTCAAAACAGATATCGATGGCCGAAGGGAATTGAAGTAAATGAGAATTTGGCTATTGACCTTGGCATTTATCTGATTTGATTAAATTTATAAGGTTCAACCTTATGAGAAAACAGTGTACTATAGAAGATTTTTTGCATTTCAAATAAATAAATAAAGTTAATGGTAAGGATCTTAAATGAACACTAAGTTACTTTTACTTTTATCAAATATCCTAATCTTTATCTATTTATTAAAACATCTTTTTCGAACAAAAGAAAGGTTGGGAAGGGAGGTCAAGTCGGATTTTTAATAAAGAATGGTGTGAAGAATTATTATTTTCAATATTATCATTATTTTATTGTTATTATGATGATATCTGGGGGTTCGGTATTAAGAAGAATATCTGGGAACCCAAGGATAACCTGGACTCCTAATATCCTTATATATCTGTATCTAGAGGTTTACCTTGGAACCTAAAGATAACCTGGACTCCTAGTATCCTTATATATCCATATCTAGAGGTTCGGTCCTGAGAAGATACCTGGAAACTCAATGAGAACCTGGACTGCCAGTATTTTACTATTTCTATATCTTGAGCTCCGGTTCTGAAAAGAATACCTTGGAACCCAAAGAGAGCCTGGATTCCTAGTATCAAAATTTATCTATATCTAGGGGTTCGGTCCTAAGTGGAATACCTGGAAACCCGAGGAGAACCTGGACTCCTAGTATCCTTATATATCTATATGTAGGGGTTTGGTCCTAAGGAGAATACCCGGGAACCCAAGGATAACCTGGACTTCTAGTATCCTTATATATCTATATCTAGGGGTTCGGTCCTAAGGAGAATACCTTGGAACCCAAGGATAACCTGGACTTCTAGTATCCTTATATATCTATATCTAGGGGTTCGGTCCTAAGGGGAATACCTGGGAACCCAAGGAAAACTTGAACTCCTAGTATCCTTATATATCTATATTTGGGGGTTCGGTCCTGAGAAGAACCTGAACTCCTGGTATCCTTATATGTATCGTATCCTATTATATCTAAATCTAGGGGTTCGGTCCTGAGGAGAATACCTGGGAACCCAAGGAAAACTTGGACTGTCCAGATCTGATTAAAGGTTTTGAGGACAAACTCAAGCAAAAGAAAATTGAAGGGAGCAAAGGTAAACTTAATTGATCCTAACAAAAAAAATATTATTTCTTTTAATTTTTTTGCAAGTTTCTTTAACATCAAAAAGTGTAAGTTTTCTTATAAATTTAAGTCAGAAATGACATAATGCAGGAAATGAAGATAAATGTAGAAAATGAAGATAAATGTAGAAAATGAAGATAAATGTAGGAAATGAAGATAAATGTAGGAAATGAAGATAAATGTAGAAAATAAAGATAAATGTAGAAAATAAAGATAAATGTAGAAAATGAAGATAAATGTAGAAAATGAAGATAAATGTAGGAAATGAAGATAAATGTAGGAAATAAAGATAAATGTAGGAAATAAAGATAAATGTAGAAAATAAAGATAAATGTAGAAAATGAAGATAAATGTAGAAAATGAAGATAAAGTATAAAATGAAGATAATGTATGAAATGAAGATAAATGTAGGAAAGGAAGATAAATGTAGGAAATGAAGGTAAATGTATGAAAAGAAAATAAATTTAGGAAATTAAGATAAATGTAGGAAATGAAGATAAATGTAGGAAAGGAAGATAAATGTTGGAAACTAAGATAAATGTTGGAAAGGAAGATAAATGTAAGAAAAATTTAGGAAATTAAGATAAATGTTGGAAAGGAAGATAAATGTAGGAAATGAAGGTAAATGTAAGAAATGAAGAAAAATTTAGGAAATTAGGAAAGGAAGATATATTGACAAATTGTAATATTCAGGTGGAAAGCGTAAAGGAGGGGAGGAAGGAGGACCTCTAGCTAAGAAGAAGCACCCAGAGGAAGAGGCCAAACCTCGAGGTTTCGACAGAGGACTCCAGGTTAATATTTAGCCTATGTTTACACAATATCTTTATTTTAAGTTAACAATTAGCAAAGAATATGGTTTTACAGGTACAAACTAAACCGTATTTTGGGGACCACGGGGGGGGGGGGGTCATTTCACACCTACTCTACTCCGTCATTATTTAAGTTTAAAGCCCCCCCCCCTCCCCTCCATTTTCAATCTCTTTGAATGTTAACCCTTCTTTTTTATGTTATTGAAGAAAATACATGATAAGCGATAATATTTTTTTAATAGCGACTATTCTTAAAATAACATTTTGCTCTAGTTCAGTAATTGAGATCTGAAAAACATTTTTTCTTCTTTGCAGCCTGAGCGTATTATCGGCGCAACTGACTCCTCTGGCGAGTTGATGTTCCTGATCAAGTGGAAAGGGAACGACGAGGCTGATCTTGTACCGGCACGCCAGGCAAACGCTAAGTGCCCCCAGGTAAGACACCAGGCTAATATTGTACAGGCACGCCAGCAAACGCCAAGTGCCCCCAGGTAAGAAACGAGGCTAATATAGTACATGCACTCCAGGCAAACGCTAAGCACATCCAGGTAAGACACGAGGTTATTCAAGTACAGGCACGCCAGACAAACGCTAAGTGCCCCAGGTAAGACACGAGGCTAATCTTGTAAAGGCACGCCAGGAAAACGCTTAGTGCCACCAGGTAAGACACGAGGCTAATCTTCTACAGGCATGCCAGGCAAACGCTAAGGATCAGTAAAATCCCTCGGGGTTTTCAGGCCCCAAGGGGTGCTGAGCCCCCTTGGAAACAAAAAAGTTAAGCCCCCCTGCCACACCGGACAAATTCTAGTGTACGCCCCTGGACAAGCAAGCAACTGAACACTAACAGCTAACTCAAATTTTCTAATTCTTATATATTTGCAACCTGATCGCGTATACCTTTGATATTTTAAATTATGAATTACGTTATATCAAAGAGTCTTTAAATATTAATGCAGAAACATGTTCAATACTTGGTATCAGGCCGTACCCTGTAATTTTTATGATGGGTGGTTTTTTCTTCCCATCTTGAACCTCGCTCTTTTTCCTACATTTTGATTTTATCTCATTCTATTCTATCCTAGCTCTCATACAATCCAGTCCTATTCTCTTTATCCTGTCCTTATGAAATATCAGATATAAGAATTAGAAAATTGAGTTTGAAGAAAAAAGTTCTGTTCCTTCAGAAGTTTTTTAAAAAGCAAAATTTTGTCTGACTAAGGTTAATTTGTAAAAAAATGGCAGTTTTTAAAGAGAGGGAAAATTTCATGAAAAGACTTAAATTCCTGTTTAGTGATAGAAAATCTTGTTCAGGTTGTCATCCAATTCTACGAGGAGAGGCTATCCTGGCACACTTCGTCTTTGGACGAGGACGACTAGAGGCTCTTCCTGACATCTGGACGATCATTAATTCCTATCGGACGATCAAGCATTTTAATTGTAATTGTTATGATTTAATCAAACCACATCACATAACACATGGTCCTATGATAACTAAATTATAATTGCAGAGAAAATCTTCGGAAGTTTGAAATATGTCGAAAGTAAAATTTGTAATTTTTGTTTCCTCTGATTTTTTTTGTATATTCGCATTTTCAAAAGAATAATTTTTGAAAAAAATTAATAATAATGATATTGAATAATAGGAATGCTAGAATCTCTATGTAAGTCTTAAAAATGTGAATTTACAGCTTATGCAACCAAACTGAACGTTTATTAATAATTTAATTTCATAGTTTGTGTACAATTAATTCACTTTATTTGATCGTCCAGGTGAAATGGACTGTTACGTAATTTCAAGTGACCTACCATTTAGGGAGGGGAATGCCCGCTACACAGTACGTTTAAACCTATCTTATAAAAAACGTGGAAGATATTATCGTTTTTTTTTTCTTTAAAGGGACTGTAAAGGAAAAATGAAAGGGGGTATAGGCTGAAAGCTGATCACTTTAGATCGCGACCCATGAAAGTTATATCTGATGTTCCTATCTCGAGAAATTAATATACAACTGTGTCAAATTTATATGAAAATTAATATATATATACAATTTTGTATAAAAGTAGTTGGTTTAAAAAGATCAAATTCAGCAAATAAGCAACCAATCTGAAAACGATGATATCACAGAGAAAGCTAATTATTACTTAGGTTTACTCCAATTCTAATTTTATTTTTGTTATTTCTATTTTTAATAGATTTAATTCATAATATTATTTACACATCCGTATTACTTGACCAGAAATTCCACCAATGACAGTGCAGTACAGTGTCACGTGATACAGGCAGAGACACGTGACCAGTAGCTCTGCCATTGGTGATAGTTCTGGTCACGTGATTTAAGTTTAAGATTTTCTAAATTTTACATATATGAACTTTAGTATAGTTTTAACACAGTTTTATGTCAATTTCTCGAGACAGGAACATCAGATAAAACTTTCATGGGTCGCGATCAAGAGCTAAAGTGATTAGCTTTCACTTTCAGCCTATACCCCCTTTCATTTTTCCTTTACAGTGTTTATTTCTGACAATTTCCATTATTTCTGAACCATAAGCAATTTATTAAAGAAAATATGATGAATGTCTCGTGCGTTTTTATTAAAGAAAGATTTTTGAGAACCGTTGTTAATTAGCCATACAACTCTATAGATGAAGAGTCACGAGAAATTACGTCTACAGTCCCTTTAAGCTATCTCTCTGTATCCTCGATACTTAACTTCAGTACCATGATCATGAGAACTCAAAACACAGCTTCCTGTTCAACTCGTGTAATGTATTCAAATATGCATGTCAAATAAATTAATAAAACTGCAGTATTATCATCAAGGTACCATAAAAAAATTGTGAAAATTAGTTTGTAAACATATTTTCATTTTGGAAATCTTTTCGAAATCTTTCAGCATGCATAAATAAAAATGGCCGAAGCTAGACATGGTATGGAAAAAATATTTAGAGGTCTGATGACCTATAGGCTGACCCATCAGAGGAATATGGTGGATCAGTTCAAAAAGGTAAAAAGAAAAACATGGCACAGAAGAATAACTGTAATAATTTTGGGTTGTCATTAAAAACTACTGCACAAGAGTCGCTAACTGAACCCACAATCAAATCAAAAACAACGATCTTTTATTAATGATTTAAACATCTTTGCATAAAAATCTCATCTTAAAATAGAAGTTCAGTGGCCGAATTTAAAGAATTTGAGCGGCGGTTTAAATTTAAACCGCGGCTCAAATATGGTTGGTTCCACTTAAAATTGTATCAAATGTTTCAAGATTTTAGCCGGCGCTAAATTTAAACCAGGTTTTGGAGGATTTAAACCGCGGCTCAAATTCTTTAAATTCCATCTCAGTTCTCATTTGAATTGTTCTCGTTTATTCTCTATTCTACTCTGAATAACAATCCTGTTGCTGTTTTTTTTTCTTCATAAAAGTGCAAACGAAATAATACACATAATATGTCAAGTTACTATCCTGGGTCAAACTTTTTGTAATACAGATTGGTTAGGAAATATTTGTTTATTCGGTTGGTCTTCAGGTTGAATTTAATCGAGATGAAAGTCTTATTTCCGTTCTAAAAGAATTAGGTTGTCCATTGTCCGAATAGACAATTTATGTTCGTCGTGTTATTTATTCAGGTGAGAGATAACCCTGTTCCTACAGCAGTATTCTTTACGTGTGTAGACTCAAGAATGCTTCCTAGCAGGTCATTATCGGAGTCAATTATTTTCTATCGAGTATGTTATTTTATCAACATAATATGTTATATGAAACACTAAAGACTTTATATCAGGTCTAAGGTCCTAATAGTTTTTCTCAAGAGTCCTTACAAGGAGGTCAATTTTAAAACTAAGTATGTAGGTCAGCTGGTTATGAAGTTATTATTAATATTAAGGTTAACACGGACTAGGATGGAGATGTTATTGATATTAAGGTTTACACAGACCCAAGATGGAGATATTATTGATATTAAGGTTTAAATAGACCCAGGTTGAGATATTATAAATATTAAGGTTTACATAGACCCAGGTTGGAGATAATATTGATATTAAGGTTAACACAGACCCAGGTTGGAGATATTATTGATATAAAGGTTTACACAGACCCAGGTTGAAGATGTTATTGATATTAAGGTTAACACACACCCAAGATGGAGATATTATTGATATTAAGGTTTACACAGACCCAGGTTGGAGATATTATTAATATTAAGGTTTACACATACCAAGGTTGGAGATATTTAAAATTCAGTGATGGTGATGGACCAAACCTCTGTAGAGTAAAAAAGTAGATGTTAGTCCCACATTTATTGAAAATATATTTCGGTCTGGGTTGACCCTCGTCAGTTCTAACGATATAATAACCATCAAAATCGATAAAAAAAAAATTTTAAAATGTAAAAATCACAAGAATATAAACAAACAAAAAGATTATTCAAAATAAAAATTTGGGCTGTCAAATGGATATAAGGGAAAAGAACTCAGATTATGAGATGGAAAACAGATAGTTTGCAAATATTCACTTTCTAAAAAAATGTTTTTAGACAATTATTATTCTTTGAGCTTGTTTCTTCACAAAGGTTAAAAACAAACTGTGTAGATGTGTGAATATTGAGTTGGGGTGGGGGTCGATCTAATTAACGAACTTTTCCTTTTGGAGATATTATTGATATTAAGGTTTAAACAGACCCAGGATGGATATATTAATGATATTAAGGTTTACACAGACCCAGGTTGGTGATATCATTGATATTAAGGTGTACACAGACCCAGGTTGGATATATTTTTAACATTAAGGTTAATAAAGACCCAGGTTGGAGATATTGATATTAAGGTTTACACAGACCCAGGCTCGATATATTATTAATGTTAAGGTTTACACAGACTCAGGTTGGAGATATGTTTATCGTAAGGAACGCTGGGAACATGGTTCCACACAGTAGTAAGGTCTCACCGTCAGCTGTAGCTACTGAACCTGCTGTACTAGAGCTAGCTTGTGTTATTAATACGGTGAGTTTTTGAGACCCTTTTAAAGAAAATTTTTATGATTAGTTTTTTGTGAGTTTTTTATGGTTTTCTTTTATTGATCAACTTAGTTATTAGTATAATTAATCAACATAATTGCTAGATAATAAATGAACTAAATTGTTAGATGATTAATTAACTCAAATTTTAAATAATAAAACTAATCAATTGATATACTTAAATTAGATAATTGAACTCAATAATTGATGATTGATTAAGGTAAAACATGTTGTTGTCTGTGGACACTCTGATTGTAAAGCTATTAATCTTCTCTACAGTCTACACACTGATCCTAAAACACAAAACTCAGCCGTTGCTCACGGACATCTCAGGTCTCTCTTTAAAAAAATGAATAAATTTTTAAAGAAATTTTTTTCATAAAAATTTAATATTAGATTATATATTTTTTTGTAAATGGGGTTTGGGATGATAGCTAAAAAACCTCTTTTTTAAAAAAAGTTCAAATAAATTACACGGACCCGGACGATATTCCAGTTTTGTATCTTTATAAAAAATATTTAGTTCCTGGATTAAGCAGCACGGAGACAGCACAATGGTTGAGTTCGACAAGATCGAACGAGCACAGTTCCGTCGACCCATCCTTCTACACGCAGAGGATCCTAACGAGAAGTTCCCGGCCTACGTCGACGTGGACGAGAAGTACAACATTAACGACAAAATTTCGATGGTGAACACGCTGGTTCAGATGCAGAACGTGACCTCGTATCCGTTTATGCACAACTGTCTCCGGGACGGTAGAACGCATATTCATGCGCTCTGGTTTGATGTTTACACTGGAGAGGTTCATTGCTTCTCTAGGAAGGAAAAGGTAAAGGAAAAAAAGGAATTCGACAAAAATATGATAAAACAATCAAAAAAGACACATTCAAAACCTATTAAGAGAATTAGTATAGAAACTAAGAACTGGTACATCAGAAAGGAGACAAATAAAGCAACTGAGAAAGTACTTAGGAAAGGAAACTACACCAGAAAGAGATTAATTAAAAAACTAAGAAAGCCTATTTGAAAGGAAACTAAGAAAGAACACTATAAAGGAAACTAAGAGAAACGTTAGAAAGGAAACTAAGAAAGAACACTAAAGAGAAAACTAAAATATAGCATTGTAAAGGAAACTTTAGAAATGAAACCAAGAAAGAAAACTAGAAAGGAAACAACAGAGAGCGTTAGAAAGAAACTGTAGAAAGGAAACTAAGAAAGAATACTTTAGAAAGAATACTAGGAAACCAAGAAAGAACACTAGAAAGGAAACTAAGAAAGAACAATATAAAGGAAACTAAGAAAACTCTAGAAAGAAAACTAAAAGAAAACACTAGAAAGAAAACTAAGAAAGACCATTAGAAAGAAAACTAGGGAAACCCCCTAGAAAGAAAACCAAAAGAGAGCACTAGAAAGGAAACTAAGAAAGACCTCTAGAAAGGAAACTACTAACTAGGAAAAATCACTAGGAAACTAAAAGAGAGCAATAGAAAGGCAACTAAGAAAACACATTTGAAAGGGAACTAAGAAAGAACGCACAAGAAAGGAAGCTAAGAAAGAACACTCTTGAAAGGAAACTGAGAAATGTTTAATCTATAATCGGAACATTAGAAAGGAAACTAAAAGAGAGAATTAGAAAGGAAACAAAGAAAACACATTTGAAAGGGAACTAAGAAAGAACACACTAAAAGGGACACTGAGAAAGAACCCTAGAAAGGAAACTAAAAGAGACCTTTAGAAAGGAAACTAAGATGAACAATAGAAAGGAAACTAAGAAAGAACACTAGAAAGGAAACTTTAACAGATATAATATGAAAGGAAATTTTAATCCCTGCAACTTTGAAGGACGAAGAGCATCAGGTGCTGTGGGTTAGATTGTTTCGATTATCTATTCTAGGTTAATTAACTTGAGAACGTTGATCAAATGCATTTAAAGAGCCTTTTTTAATAAAAGTTTTTAATTAATGAATTAAATGGGTTCGATGTCAGGCTATACGAGGATGAAAGATTTAAGCCACACATGAATTTCATTTTACGTTTATTAAGGAATTGCTGATGAACATATGAATTTCATTTTACGTTTATTAAGGAATTGCTGATGAACATATGAATTCCATTTTACGTTTATTAAGGAATTGCTGATGAACATATAAATTCCATTTTACGTTTATTAAGGAATTGCTGA